AAATTTTTTGGTAACGTTGAAATAACATTCCCCTTCTTTCCTGCATCCACTCATCGATGGAATGTTTTAATTGAACACATTGGAATATCTTTGAAAAGACTGTCAACAACACGCTGGAGTGCTCATCATGCTGCTGTTAAAACAGTGAAAGATGAGTTTGATGAATGCTTGGCGGCGATTAAAGCTCTATTTGATTATCTTGAAAGTATGGATACAAGAAGTACAGCACAAGGTCTTTTACATGCTGCCCATGGTTTCACCTTTATCTGCTACCTTTACATTTGGGATGATCGACTTGAGGAAGTTAATCTGACAAAACAAAAGTATAAGCCGATTAAAGATTTTACTCTTGAAAAAGTGGTGACCAACCTAGGTGCCCTAAGATGTTTTTCTCCAGGAAAAGCGCTCTCACTTGGTGGAACATGCTACTGAAAAGACAATTTTAAAATCAGACCAAAATAGATTTCGATAGAGAGAAGATAATGGCTTACGAAGAGAAGGTAGGAGAACAAATAATAGGTGATAGACTCTCTCTGCGAAAAGAAAACAATAGAGAGATGCTGGAATGTATTAATCACTTTCATTTTAAACTCCAGATCATCAAAGATCAATGAAGTTGCAGATAAATTATGTTACAGGCTGTTCAACCCAAGAGTCTACTATCAGCAAGTGAAGAAGAGCTATTAGAGTCAGTTCCAAAATTAACCTCTCTCTGTGATGAGTTATCAGAAGATCAACTTTTAAAAGAAATGCCAAGGCTTAGAAGACACCTGAACGCAGCTGTTACAAAATTTCACAAAGTCATGGACTGGTCAGTTTTTGAGGTTTTGAAATGTATAGCTGAATGACTCTTACTAGAATCTCTTCCAATACTCTCGTTAAGTCTTCACTTATCTTTTACAATCTGCGTGTGTGGCTTCATGTGAGCGGAGCTTTTCAAAACTAAGACTTATCAAGAACTATTTACTCTCCAAGATGGGACAATCAAAGCTTTCTGATCGGGCTCTCCTATCACTTCAAATTTATTCTTTGAAGGATATTGATTTTGGTAAATGTAACACACCTACTCTGACATGGCGTGGGAGCTTATTTCTTATGCTGTGGGTTATGTCAGTAGTATGGTTACTTATGTTATGTTGATATTTCAGGATGCCGACTAAGGCTTCTTCATTCTTCCACTTATAATCCGGGCACGCAAATAAGAATACTGAATCCTGGTTAAACTTACAGTACTTTATTGAACACACTTTATATTGATAATATTAATAAATAATCCTTGCATGAATGTAATTTCATATATATATATCCATAGTACTCCATCATTAATAAAGACACGTCCTCACACTAAACTGTCAACTGTCTAATCACACAGCTCTCACGCTACTGACTCTACTGCTCTGCGCTCAGCTCTCTACTATATCAGTCAACTCATACTTTATTACCAGCAAAGCGTGGAAAACAACCGCTCTGACAAAAACACAATTTTACTCTCCAAAAACGTGGAGTTCACCTTTGCCTCTCAAAATACATGGTCAACACAATTCACTGTTCACTCATGCTACCTCTCTGTTTTCATGTGAAAACATTGTCCGTTACAGTAAATTAATTGACAAATTTGCTGCTTTGATGACCAGGAAAGAAAAGTTATTAATACAGTAAATTTAATTTCAAAATAGCAATAACTTAGCGTTGTTACAGTTCTTAAATACATTTACATCCTAACCTTCAATTCATTTGTTTTTGTTATTGTCATTGTTATACGTTTGACATATTGTAACGAGGAGAAATCCATTGTGGAAGTTGGGAGGGAGGGGGTAACACCATGAGTTTACCACACCGGGTGACACCAACCCAAGCTACGCTACTGATAGGATGTATAGTTGTATATGGTGTATGGTTGTATAGTTTGTGTAGTTCTATATTGCTTATGGTTGTTTTGTGTGGTGGCACTCTGCTTGTTGTCATCTTGTTCTGGTGGCACTCTGCTTTGGTGTCACCTTCCTTTGCTGGCACTCAGCTGTGGTGGCACTCTGTTCTGTTGTCATCCTACTCCCGTGCCACTCTGATGTGGTGGCACCTTCCTTTGCTGGCACTCAGCTGTGGTGGCACTCTGTTCTGTTGTCATCCTACTCCGGTGCCACCCTGATGTGGTGTCACCTTCCTTTGCTGGCACTCAGCTGTGGTGGCACTCTGTTCTGTTGTCATCCTACTCCGGTGCCACTCTGATGTGGTGTCACCTTCCTTTGCTGGCACTCAGCTGTGGTGGCACTCTGTTCTGTTGTCATCCTACTCCGGTGCCACTCTGATGTGGTGGCTTTTTGTAGGGGAGTCATCCTGATTTGGTTGGGATCATCTTTTTTTTTTTTTAAATTGGCCCGTGATAAAATTGATTAGTGTTAACTTAGTCCGATTGTTTTAGTTTTGTGTTAAGTTCCATTTCAAATAGTATTAATCTTTAGTTTTCAAATCGAGATTGACGGTAATAAATTAATTCAAAGATTAAAATGTTTAATCACTTACCTGGCATAATAAACAAAATAATAAATAGATTACCCACAATCTTTGAGTAAATTCCAACTTTATAAACATTGGCATGTAATAGCATTATTTAATGGAATGCAAATCGAGTTTCTATCAAAGATGGCGCTTGTTTTGCTTGGATACAAAATGGCGTTTAGCTTGTGTAGAAATAAAATAATAATTGTATTGCGCGCAGAAACAAAAGAAAAAGAAATATTTTTAAAACTAAAATATAGATTAATTGTGTTAAATTTGTTTTTATTTTTTACTAGCTGTTCTGCGCCCGGGTGGCCAAACATTTTTATTCAAACACAATAATTGGAATAAATACCCAGGTACCTTTAAACGATTCGGTCAGGATTTCACAGTCAATGATTTTTGACATCATTTGTTTGACAACCATTCTGGTGCCATTTTCTTGTATTGTTGCCAAGTGCACCAACTTTCATGTTGCTGTGTGTTAGGAAGCGTACCTCCAGTTATTAAGCTGTTCCAAAAGCTGCCTCTTCGATGTTTGCACAGCCTTGCTGAAAAGAGTCTATACTCTTCTTCTTCTTCTAAATCTTAAGGGCCCGCGATCAATTTATTGATCATGTTGGCTCCTATGCATGTAGATGGGATTTGCAATATTTCTGCTCCTGGTGACGATGAGGTGCCACTTTGGAATCATGCTGTTCGTTCGTCCGTCGAGGATCGACTAGGACCATCGAGTCGTCTGGTGACTGATAACTTGTTTGAATTTGTTTAAAATAAGTTCTAAGTTTTTAAATTCATATATATATAGTAAGATCTGCGCAATCCAACTGACCTAGCAAAGTGACCCAGCTTACTGATCCAGCCAACTGACCAAGTCAACTGCCCCACCTAGTAGACCCAGCCATCTGACTAAGTCAACTACCCATCCCAGCCGACCCAGCCAACTGTCCCACTCAGCTGACAAAGTCAACTGACCCAGTCAACTGCCTCACCCAGCTGACCCAGCGAACTTACCCAGGCAACTAACCCACCCAACTTACTCAGTCAACTAACCCAGTCAACTGACCCATCCCACTGACCCAGCCAACTGATCCACCCAGCTGACCCAGCTTACTGATCCAGCCAACTGACCCAGTCTACTAAGCCTGTCATCTGACCCAGCCAACTGACCCAGCCAACTGACCCAGCCAACTGACCCAGCCAACTGACGCAGTCAACTGACCCAGCCAACTGACCCAGTCAACTGACCCAGCGAACTGACCCAGTCAACTGACCCCATCAACTGACCCAGTCAACTGACCCAGTCAACTGACCCAGTCAACTGACCCAGTCAACAAACCAAGTCAACTGACCCAGCAACTGACCCACCCAACTGACCCAGTCAACTGACCCAGTCAACTAACCAAGTAAACTGACCCAGTCAACTAACCAAGTCAACTGACCCAGCCAACGGACCCACCCTACTGACCCAGCAAACTGACCCAGTCAACTGTCCCAGCGGCTGACCCACCCAACTGACCCAGCCAACTGACCCATTCAAAGTACCCAGTCAACTGTCCCACCAACAATCCAGGCTCCCCATGATGTACAAGATAAATAATGGGCTGGTCCACTGTTCTAGTATTAAACAGAAACTCGTCCCTCTCCCCCATAGACAGCGACTACCATGACAGGCAATTCAGGCTCATACCCGCCAGAAGCCAGTATAGGAGCTGCTCATTCCTGCCCAAGACAATCAGGGACTGGAACAAAAAGGAACGGTTGAGGCGACAACACTAGACACATTTGTGTCTATTGCCTCAAGCCTTCAAACCCCTAGTGCATGATTCCCTCACAAAGTGGCACTGGAAATCAGTGAAATTTCCTCATCGACACCAGGAACAGAAACATTGCAAATCCCATCTACATGCATAGGAGCCAAAATGATCAATAATTTGATCGTGGGCCCTTAAGATATAGAAGAAGAATTGTTTTAGTTGGATAATTTTGACGTTATTACAATACAATACAATCATGGGCTTAAAATTAAAATTTACAAAGCAATTACACTTCAGATCCGTTTTGTGAGCAATCCATTTATTTGGATTAATAAAAGGATCTTATCTTATGCATTTTGTTTGCATTTATGTAAATGTAAGTGTTTACATCGGGGTAGAGACAAATTACGTAACTGCCTGGAGCACCAAATTCTGGTGGTATTAATCAGATCCCAAAATAATTAAAGACAAGACAGACAGACAAGACAGGTATAACACACTATAAAGACAAACAGACCAGACATACCAGACAAGACAAGACAAGGTTACCTAACCATAACATAACTGTTTTTGACTGGAGTTTACGCAATCCTAACTTTATTTTACACTTCCTATATCAAGTGCGTGTCTATAACATTTCTTTGTCGGTGATCATTCTACCGTTTAGTTTGGATTTTCAAAAGCCGAATGCAGTGATCTTTCAAACATGTAGTTTTCATTAGAGCTATGAAAGCTTATACTTGGACTACTTTCTACACGACAGAAATACGCTCTCGTCGCTGGCGAATTTAAAATCAATTCAGTTTGTTTTGTGGGACCAAATTTTCATGAAAAAAAATATTTTAACTTGTAAGTAAACTCTTTGAAGAGGTACATTTCTTCAGTAATTAAATGTTGTGGTAATTAAATAATTGTATCAGTTGTAATCTCAATTAAATTCTAGTTTGTTGCAGCAAGGGAAAAGCAATAGCCTGCAGCAATTTTATATAAATAAAATGTCATAAAGGTAAGTAAAACTGATACATATTTTAACAGACCATTGTTTTATTTTGTTACAAAAGCTAGCGTTCTGATTGTCATTGGTTTGGTATAAGAGTAGGACATCGATGAATGTTAAAGGTCTATCTAAAGACTCTCAAAAAACTAAAGTGGGCTTCATTTCCTTCAAGGCAAGAGATGGCCGCAAATTTATTTGTATGCTAGCCTTAATATTTCGTTGAATGTAATCGTGACACTTTAAAAATTCAATTTCGGATTTCATTTAAACGTTTTCTTTTTAAACGAACCCTGTAATAGCACTCGCATCTTTTATAATATGAGTACGAACATTTTGAAACTGATGTTCTATTACTTTCTACAGCTGTCAAGGGTACACGGAACCAACAAATAAACCAGGCCAAACGGGAAACTTCTTTATTGTTATCAACGATGTCACAGAAGAGAAGTTTCAGAGTAATAAAAGTCACAATTTGAAGTAATATTGTATTTTAAAACTGCGTCACACATGAGTAGTTTCAATCTTTCAACGAGAAAAAAAAAGGAACTACGCCACGCATATCAAGGTATAAATTTAAGGAACCGAGTAAATGATAATAGGCTTCCTCATTCCTGAATACGCCTGGCAGATCGGCGTTACGCCCTAACAGAATAGTTGATAACATCTTTGTGTATCAAAACTACAGCTTTTTAGACGGCATAGGGAAACAAAGTATTCGAAACATTCAGAATGACTTTTGATTTCGGGAACTTCAAATCATCCGTGGCTGAAGGAGTTCAGAAGTGTATCGGTCAACAATGGACACATGATGATTACAGTGACGTCACTGTTGTTGTGGAAGATATGGAGTTCCACTGTCATAAGTTTATGCTAAGTTCGTGCTCTAGTTTCTTTAACGGACTTCTACGGGCTGAGATGAGAGAAAGCATAGAGAATCGAGCTGTGCTGAAATCTATGAGCAAAGAAACATTTGCTGTCATCATCAATGCTGTTTATAAGGGTGAAAATGGTTTAACAAAGGAAAATATTCTACCAGTGTGGCGAGCAACCATTTTTTTGGACATTCCATTTCTAATAGAAATGTGTGAGTATTTTGTAAGTCAAGATATTTCATTAACTAATTTTGAAATATATTATGAAAGTGCAAAGCTCCTGGGACGTACACATGTTCTAAGACTTTTACATAATTTTATGATCAGAAATTTCCAACAAATCAATGATAGAAAGACATTCTTTGAACTATCTGCTGAAGAAATCTGTAACATGGTAGACAGTCACTTCCTTAAAGTAGATTCTGAAGATGTTGTTATTGAATCGATTCTTCAGTGGATCAATTACGAACATCATGATGTTGAAATGCTGGTCGATGGGAGTACTGACGATTCTTTGGATGATCAAGACTATCGCAATGAAATGAATAATGCTGCCTGTAGGAATGACCAGTCGAAAGAAGGAATCAATCTTGGTGACAGCGGTGAACAAACGGCCGAACTGACGATGGATGCAACCAACTGTAGCAAATCAGAGTTACGTGCAAGCACCACTGAAATGTCTAAGTCTGTCATCTGCAGTATTTATGAGGCAGATGGCATGGCTTTAGTAAATACATTTGAGACACATCAACGACAGCAAACAACATCACCAGAAGCGTCAACGGACACTAGACACACAAATCCGGCTCTTAAAAGAGAAAGTGAATTAAATTTGAATGAAGGATCTGAGAGAGCAGACTATGTGATAAAGTTACTTAAATCAACTCGAATGCATTTGGTAAGTCGCGGGTGCCTTGAAAATCTGACGAGAAATGCAGTGATAACATCAAACCTAGATGCCATGAATATTGTGTATGAAGCCCTGGTGTATAAAAAAAAGGCTGTCAATTACGGAAATACCATCTTGAGATACAGAGAACACAGTAACATCATCAACGGGGTGGCTTTTGTTTGTGATAACCTGGTGTTTTTATACAATCTCTTAGATCATCAGGCGTATACTTTGTTTGATAAAGATTTAGGACAAGAACAATTTTCTGGATTTGTTGGGCTTACTGCAATAAACTCTGCTCTATGTTTCACTACAACAAAAAAAGAAAGCGTACTGATGGCAGGTCGCAGCCGGTCAATTGTAACTGATACAACTTTCAAATATTTAAAATTATATAACACAGAGGACGATTCCTTTTCAGAGTTGGGAAAGTCAATGAGCTCACATATATCGTTCCTGCTCAATTACAATGACAATATAATTTGTACCGATAATTTATTTGTGGACGTAACTGTTTTTCGACCATCAGAGGAAATTTCTTTAGGTCTACGATTCTTAAACACTAACATTACTCCTTCGCATGCGACAATTTTTGAAGACGATATATTAATATTTTACGTATCCGGAGCAAGAACTGGAATAAAAAGTTGTAAACCAAGAAACAAGGTATTGGTCACTCTTCCAGACATCGATGGCCCTGCCGACAAAATGACCAGTTTCCAACACGACGCACTCTTGTATCTACTTCAGAAAAATGGTGATCTTTGGCTTGTGACCAGATCCAACTCTGATGACATAGAATTCATTAAATTAGAAAAGTTATGGGACCTTGATTGGAATCTGCATGGGGCTGTTTGTTACAACAAAATATTGTTTTTGTTTGGTGAAAAAATTGTACTGGATCAAAAATCAAGTAATACTTATATCACAGAGATGCAGAACAAGTCCTTATCAGATGTGTTTGACAGCATCAAAGTTGTAGAGATGAACTGTCAGTCACAAGTCGTACCAATGGCAGTGGACAGATCTAGGTTAACATTTTCGTACGAAAGCAACCCACTCTACTGAACCTTAGTAATTTAAGTAACCACTATATAGCTCCCTAAATAATGATATTGATTTTTTAAACATATAAACTTATCTCGATGACTTTAATTACTTTATTTTTTTTTAAATTTGCGAAACCTGTCATAGTAAAAAGATGTATATCATGTTATATTTAAGATTCATATTTCACTATGATGTACTTACACAGAGAACAACGTTGAAATGCGCGCACAGCCGCTAAAGTCGTCGTCAACTTGACAATGTATAACTTATGTCTCTAGTATTTAGTGTCTCGAAAGCGGCATGTAATAAATACCACCATTACACACCCCTTCCTCCAAGCAAGTTTTGCCGTCTTCTTCTTCAATATTTTGAGGCGCCATGATCAATGTATCGTTCACTCTGGCTCCTTTGTCCAGACACCCTGTGTAACTCAAGACGGGGGGGGGGGGGGTCTTCATTTTTTTCATTTATTCACTTATGCATCATTATCAGATCACGCTCTTGACTGGTGCGTGGAGCAAATTTCAAACAGATCAGTCTTCACAACTTAATTCTGATTCTGTATATCTCAACAAGTATTCTACACCTTGTCTTTCTTTGCATGTTCTTATGTGGTTTTATTCTTCTTGAAATGATGATTAAGACGCATTCGTAACTCTCTTTTTTTTTTAACGGCAACTTAATTTAAGAATTAAAGAAAAAAAAATTACAAGTATTTTTATGTATATTTTTCATCATATTTGTTTGATTAGTATTATTATTATATCATAGTGCTCTTAGTTAGTAGACATGTCGGAAAAATTAGGAAATCTAAAAAAAAAACCAAAAAAAAAAAGGCCAATACATTTAGATTTATTGGGTTTTTTTTTTAATGTATTAAGTCAGTTTAAGAAAACAGAATTCAAGAATAATTAAAGAAAAAAAAATTACAAGTATTTTTATGTATATTTTTCATCATATTTGTTTTATTAGTATTATTATTATATCATAGTGCTCTTAGTTAGTAGACATGTCGGAAAAATTAGGAAATCTAAAAAAAAAACCAAAAAAAAACAGGCCTATACATTTAGTTTTATTGGGTTTTTTTTTTAATGTATTAAGCCAGTTTAAGAAAACAGATTTCAAGAACTTTGACAAAACGGTCGCTACATCTACATAAATAGATCCATACCATAAAACATTTGGGGCGAAGGGTCTGAAATGAGCAAATCTCAAGTTGGTGGTCGTGAGTTCAATTCCAGCCTAAGCCCAGACAAGCATCACCAGCACCGCGGGTGAAAGGGACGCGTTAATTTTTGGACGGCACTCATCTAAGAGAGGGAAACTCTGAATTCAAACCCGGAGAGGAAGTCCTGTAGGCGGATAATATTGGTACGATGAAAAATTCTGACAACTCCTACGATGCCACTGTTCTAAACTTTATCATCCACATGATGTTCCTTTGGGTTTTCCAGCGGCGTGGAGAGAGGCGATTGGCTGTTGGGAACCAGCTTATAATCCTAGAAGAATAATCCCAGGCCTTGTGGATTTCGCCTTGCGAAGTTTTCACCATCGTCACATTGTGACGGACGCATGCCAACAAAAAGAAAAACAAAAAATAAACAACAGTTGGATGCCGATTCGGTTGCAACTAATGACGGATATGTTTACCTAATTTTCAAAAATAATAATAAACCACATCAAATGGAGAGTGACCAGGCGTAGACAATAATGTTGCGCTATTAATTTAATGTGTAAAAAAAAAATAAGCACATACAGCTTAGTGGGGTAGCGTATACAAGTCGTAAGAAATATTAAATCTAAGTAATTATGTCAAGACAACTATCGGTTAATAATTTAATTGCACTATTTTGTATTTACCACTGTGATATTTTAAATTATTTATGTTTATGCAAATGAATGTTGAACATTTTTTATAAATATAATTATGTCCATACAATTATGTTTTTTTTTCATTTTTGTGTATGTTTTCATATTATTCTTTAGACAATTTAAATAGGATCTGAATTTTCTATTCAAATATGAAAATACTTTTTTTTATATTTTGTTTTCATAAATATATTTTAATAAGAAAAATGTTGCAATCTATATAATATATAATTCACCAGCGAAACTAGGGCGAGAGGTCAACGAAGACAACCACGCAGGCTATATTAGATACACCAGAGCAAGCAAGACGCAGGCAAACCCTCCCCTCCCTTTCCTTGCCTGCCCATCGTTGGTCTCGAGACATGCGCACTGCGGCGTACCTACCGACCCCTCCTGCACCACCCTCGCTTTCCAGCCATGTGCTCACCCCAACAAGCTCGCGGCGTATGCTAAGCCGCGGGTCGGCTATATTTATATAGTTCATGGGTGTGAAATAAAAAAGTGTGCAGTGACGTATCATGACAAAAAAGGGGGCAGGGGTGTAACGAAATTGGCATTCTTAAATGTGCGTAACTTAATTTAACGTTTTTGTCAATGGACTTTAGGAGATGGGAAGTTAACGCCTCTAATGTTTGGCGGGCTACATCTAGTCTACAATATTTAATTATGAAGTATGAAAACAAAGCACATGCTAACGTCCCCTTGCAAATTAACATTTTGTGTTTAGAAATAGTTTGTTATTTATTTCCATAAACGAAAGATGAAGCAAAGTTAAGATTATATTTATTGTAGTAATATCATTATGTTTGTAATAATTGGTGAGAGGTCTGTAATTTTGAAGGATGTTGTGAAATGGATTCTTAATAGGTTTATTTCTTGAGTTTGAGGATGAAAGTGTTTGGGATGTTAAAGGTTTAACGAGACAGGGCGAGTTGTTTGTGTTCTGTCAGGATTATATCGATATACAACTTACACATTAGTCATAGGATGGACGCACCACGGTGCGGCCCTGCACGGGGACGTACGGTGCTGCTACTGACATGCACTTTCTCTTACAAAAAGAAGTCTGTTCCTCAATGTAAATTTTGTCAAATTGCTCTTTAAGATTCATTTAGCGTTCCCAAGTTAACAACCCTTGATAGTGGTTACCACCACAAAGGCGGTGTTTCTACTAGTTTTATGTAAGCTTGTTGAATGCGTTCCATTTTCTAATTACAATTTCTTTTTGTTACGTTCATTATTATTGAGATTTTGTACATTACAGCTTTATTCCCTATTATTACTATAGTTTCTATAATGTTTTTAAGATTTGCATACTAGGGTTTGTTCCCCCAAGAGCATGCCAAGATTTTTTTTTACTCCTTCTTCAACGAAAAAGAAATAACTCTTGAGTTGGCCAAAAATTCTGCCTACCCATATGAAGGAAAAAGTACTCCTGGTGTGGAGTACGCCCTTTCGGACCGCCCCTCCTCCTATACGACGCATTATTAATTTAACTGCAAGTGTGTAGCTGTTATTCTTTTTTGTAAATTAAGCATTTTCACGTATAATAATCATGTGATATCGCCATTAACTTTGTAAATAAAAACATATTCAATATGACTAAAAAATGTATGAAAGCGTCGGTTCTTATAGTAGCGGTCACGCATCTACAATCATCTCAACAACAACAGAAATGTTGTTCTATCTATCCTTTTATTGCGCCTTTATTCTCCTATCCCCCCATAGAATCGGCAGTGTAATAAAAAAAGAGGAGAAGAATGCAGATATATGGTTAATAAATCTAAATTTTCTATAATTTAATTAGCCTATCAAATGAGTTAATACATTATTATATTTATCTTTAATTATATATGAGTTTATATTATTTTTTTAAAAGTTTTACTTCTCTGCATGTATAAAATATATTGTGTTAGATTATATATGTATATATTTGAAATGTATAAAATGTATACAACTTGATTAAACGTTTATATTGAAATTAAATTGAGAAACAATATAACGAATTTCATGTTCATAAATATTTTTTATGTATGCTGATGACGTTCAACATAATTTTTACACATTCAGACTTATTACGTTATAAACTAAATTGCATAAAATCATAATATATATATATCGGTGGAGTGAAATATTTATTTTTTCAAAATTTCCATTTTGCATACAATATGTATTGACCCACAAAATAGTTTTCGATCGATCAGCACCCTGTTAAAATTACTCCCATCTTTTCTTCGTCGTAAAAAAATGAGTCTTAATTTAGCCTTTCTAAATAAATAATAACATTATGCAACCTTTTTCAAAAGGTCATAGAATGATTTTTTTAACATGCTGTGAAATCACGACTCTTATGTTAGAATTCTTTGAATTAAACCATTTATTCTTTAAGAAAAGCTGATACAAAATTAAATAAATTAATATTAATAAATTCTATATAAAACCTTCCACTACGTAATGAAGTGAATTATTAAAGTGAGTCAAATTTTACCTTTCATTCGCAAAATCTGTGGTGACAATTTTGAAAACAAAAAGTTGTCCTCCTTGGTGTATGAATGATATTTCAATAATGATACGTTTCACAGCGTTGAGACGTCAAATTAAATTAACTCTCAACGCAATATTCTCCTGTAATTTACAAAGGTGTCTTAAGCACAATGTTTGTGCACCCATAAAAACTTACATTTCATAAATGAGCTTGCCATAGTGAAAGATCATTACACATTTTTATTTTGGACCAATATTTTATGAGAAACAGGAAATTTGCCGCAACATAGATTTTTGTATAGAGGAGTCAAACGGCAATTTCCGAAATTAGTTTCCCAGTAGATCACTTTTATATAACTGCCATTTTCAAAAAAGCAATTTCAACGTTGCTGTTGTGACGACAGTTTTTAAGGTGAGAACTTTCATGAATTTTAAACACTTATTTTTCTGAGTCAGTGGCGTAGCGAGGGGGGTGCGGACCGCACCGGGTGACATCATTTTAGGGGTGACACACAATTGAAAAAATGCATATTTACATAGCACACAGTTCTCGGTATAACCGAGATTCGTAAAAAAATCTCCAATCACACACATTTTTTCACAAATGCATGCTTTATTAAAAGTTCAAGGTTTATGCGTCAGAAATGTGATAACCCTATGTTTAGATCAGAAAAACACAGTCATTTTTCCATGCCGTTTGAAGTGTTCGGTAACTTCCGTAAGTGACAGGAGGCTATATTTATCTAAATTCTGAGAAACATGATTTTCCATTGATACCAAATAAGTGTGGTCGGGCGGTTATAAGTGTAAAAATAGGTAAAAATTAAAAACATAAAAAAGGAATTGTACCCATATATAGGGTTAAAAAATATATTACTTTACACAATTTTCAATCTTTTAATGATTAATTCTTTTTTTATTTAAATTTAAATAAAGAAAAGTTTTTTTTAAAGACATATACAATATTATATATCGAAACCAAAAAGGTATCTTATCTTTCACCAGAAATCAAAATGAATTGATAAGTGTCCTTGCAAATCATGTGAAGGAGTTTTTATCATGGATATAAAGTCTACAAGGTATTTTGGAATTATTTTCGAAAGTACACCTGATATATTTATTTATTTATTTATTTAGGCATTTTTATATAGCGCTTATCATAAAGCTCTAAGCGCTTTACAAATTTAAATAAAGAAAAGTTTTTTTTAAAGACATATACAATATTATATATCGAAACCAAAAAGGTATCTTATCTTTCACCAGAAATCAAAATGAATTGATAAGTGTCCTTGCAAATCATGTGAAGGAGTTTTTATCATGGATATAAAGTCTACAAGGTATATATCACACAGTGACCAGATGTTTGTAGTGATCGGATATGTGATAGTCCACAATGGGAAAGTTGAAGTGTGAGAGCTGTTTATTGCATTTTTCCCGTTAAGATTGGAAAAAAAGCTGATGACCTCAGTTCTGACATTCTTACAAACTAAAGCGTGATGGACTATACATACTGATTTTCAGAGCTCAGGGTTATGATAATGCTGCCCTAATGTATGGAATCCATGGAGGTGTTCAAGCCATTCGGAAAGAAATAATAAGAAAGCAATTTTTAAAGGATGTGTGGGCCATTCACTTGTGTGGTAAACACTCTTTTGCTGAAAATGCTTCATGTATTACATTATTCGGTACTCTTGAAAGAACATTTTCCTTCTTTGCTGCATCCAATAACAGATGGAATGTTCTAATTGAAAACACTGTAATGTCGGTTAAAAGACAGTCTACACCGCGTTGGAGTGCTCATCATGCTACTCTTAAAACAGTGAAAGATATGTCTGATGAATTTTGGGAGGCGATTAAAGCTCTATGTCATCACCTTGTAAAAATTTGCATACAAGAGGTTAAGCACAAGATCTGTGATTTCACGTTTATCTGCTACCTTTAACTTGGGCTGATCTATAGCGTGAAGAAGTTAATCTTACACAGCAGTATCTGCAAATTTAAGGGTTTACTCTTGACAAAGTGATGACAAACCTAGAGGCATTAAGATTGTTTGCACGAGAAGCGCCGTCACTTGGTGGAGAATGTTATTGAAAAGGCACTTTTAAAATCAGACCAATATGGAATTTTGGTAGAGAGAAGAATAAGGTTTAAGAAGAGAATGCCACGATAACAATTAGTAGATGCTGGACTCCAAGAAAACAGTTGGGAGATGCTGTAGTGTAATGATCGCATTCATTCTGAACTCCACACCAGATCATCAGTGATCAAGGAAGCACCAGATATGTTTGTGTCTGTTCAACCCAAGAGTCTTGTATCAGCAAATGATGAGGATGTATTGGTATCCGTTCCAAAATTGACCTCTTTCTATGATGAGTTATCAGAAGATGAACTTTAAAAAGAAATATCAAGGCTGAGAAGACATCTAAAAGCAGCTGATTTCTCAAAGTCATGGACTGGTCATTATTTGATGTTTTGAAATTTAAAGCTGAATGGGACTTCCTAGAATCTCTTCCAATACTCTCGCTAAGCCTGTAATTTTTTCTTACGATCTGTGTGTATGTGGCTTCATGTGAGGGTAGCTTTTCAAAATTAAGACTTTATGATCCACCATGTGACAGTCAAGGTTTTCTGATGTGGCTCTGCTATCAATTGAAAGTGGTACACTGAAAAACTTTGATTTTGATCAAGTGATTGACAGGTTTGCAGCTTTGAAGACAAGGAAAGGAAAATTGTAAATTGTAAATTTAACGTAAATACAGCAATAACTTAACGTTTTGAAATATATTAACGTCATGGCTTTCGATTTATTTGTTTTTGGTTCTTGTTATTGCTATAGTGTGCACTTATTTTAACAAGATAAAAATCATCACGGGAATTTGGTGGGGGGGGGGGGGTGACACCATGAGTTTACCGCACCGGGTGACACCAACCCTAGCTACGCCACTGTTCTGAGTTAAAACGCATGTAGTTGTATTATGTGCCCTAATATACGGAACATAAGACTTCATTTATGAATACATCAATGTAGCCTCTATGCTTGTTGGTATGTGAGTAAGTAGGTCAGTATGATAACATTTTTTTTTAACTTGTTACCACACTCCACCCATATCTTTTCCTAACAAGTCCCAAATTGACTGATTGCTCTCCACGGCAATAGCTGAAATTGCTACCCTATCGAAGTTATGAGAGGTTCCCACATTGTCAGACTTTCTCCTCGTCAATCCTTAGAGTTTGATTGTTGTTTACATTTTTTTTTTACATGCATGACCATATTGTTCAGTTCATACTGGCCCTTAGCTGTGTGTAGGTTTTTTGTTTGGAAAAGGATTTTTCTGGAGTTCTTATGGGGATGAGATTCTTTTTTTTTTTTTTTTTTTTTTTTTTTTTTTTTTTTTTTTTTTTTTTTTTTTTTTTTTTTTTTTTT